AGTGTGTGATAGCACTGGACGGAAGACTCGATTTATCACAGGTTTTGTATTGACATTAAAATATGAAAATAATACAAATTATGTCGATTGTAGGTAAGGATGCGATTGAAAGGGTTAGCCCGAGTAAAGTGGTCTGAAGACGACGATTTATACTCGGATACAATTAAATATTTTAAAATGAATTATGATTTTATGCGAAATAGTGAGTTTATTTTAACATTATTTCTCATTACTTTAACTTTATAATTATTTTTGTAGCATACAGTCAAGTGATATCGAAAGGTGTCTATGAATTCCCGTTTAGCTATCAATTGCCGCACGAGTAATTTAATTTTTGTTGCAAATAATAATTTTTATATAATAATAAATACTTATATTTAATATTTTAATATAAATGAAGGGGAATATCATCGAGTTTTATAGGAAAGTACGGATCAATTAAATACTGGATTGAAGCGGAAATACAAAGGCCCTTGTTCACTTTGAACAATAAGATTAAGACAAAACTTAATGTGGATGTACCACTTGTTTGCAACGACATAATGGTTTTATTATATATATTTATTTTACTATTCGGTTATTACTATTTATAAATAGATACATTATAGATATTTTATCAAATATAGTTGCCGCTGAAATTAAGTGCACAAAAAAGTGACTTTTTCTTTCATAATAATGGTTCAATTCGTATGGATGCCATGATTGATAGACGCGCATATTATCCAGGTAATTAACCAGTATTTTCTAAAAATGTACGTAAGTTTCATTAATATAAATATATACATAAAACTGAATGGTGACCAAAAGGCGAGTTTGTGGTCATTCACTGCAATGTTATCAACCAGTCGTCCACACGAGTCATACCCCGAGTAACTCTCAGACAAACCCAGACTTATTTAATGAGAAAAAGAAATACAAACAAAATAAAACAACGAAAAGATTATGAAATCAAATACCAACGACTGGAGGGATTGGCTACAGGAGCCGGATCTACTTCCACTCAAATATTTCAAGTACTGTAATGTTTCATTTAGTTCAAGTGCAATCATTTAACATGAAGTTTTTCTCACAAATAATAGAATTATTAATAGTTAATTTAATAAATAATATTTAGCATTAATAATAATTTTCAAATAATGTTTTATGAGTTCAGGTGCCCATTCCGATTGGCATTGCCATATCAGTGGACAGTCCCATACTAAAAGTTTCATATGACTTGCACCTTACTGTTGACATCCCATCAGCAATTGATCTACACTTAAACTTACCCATTATGATCACTACACCTAATATTGTCAATCAGTATATGGCATATAATTCTCAATAATAATCTAGGAATTATTATACACAATTATTTTAAATACGGAATTTTGATTAACTTATAATTATTTGAATATAAAGAATTTTTGGGTGAATTTCTATATTAATTCTCTATAAAATTAATTCTCTATATATGTTTATAAATGTTGAATGTCTTCACGTTTAAATAAAATTTTAATATAATGTATACAAAATATCGCTTTTATTTAATTATTAAAGTTATTTATTAAAGTAACAGGAATAATTTATGTTTTATAATAACTAATAAACATTACGGTTATAAAGAACAGTATATTAAAATTCACTTGATGTTCACTTTTCAATATCTGAATACTCTTAAGCATTGATCGCCAATGAGTTTATGAGAAATTGGGTCAAAATATAAGTTAATTGAATCTCAAAAGCAGTTTTGTTTAGACGAACTCATTTGGGTCTAAATATTTGGTGTTTAATGGT